AGGCGAGTGACACCTGGTCGATTTAAAGAAATTGTGAGCAACTCCTCCAGCCTTCGCTGCTATGCTGGCACAGTGTTCATGGAATTTCATCTCGTTGTCGATGATAACACCCAGGTCACTACATGACGTAACGCAGGGAATTGTGTCACCAGCCAGTGTGTATGCACCGGACTCGAAGTCATGGAATCGTCGCCTAAATCGTATGACGGCAGGAAAACATCCATACACTACGCCGGATGCCAGTGAGACAAAATTCGGCGCAAGCGATTTTGCGCCGAAATTTCTGAGTGATTTGCGCCAAAAATTAGGTGCCTATGTGTGCGAAAATTAAGCCCTTTTCATATAAAGCACATGTGCACATATACTGATCAAGGCTATATCAACCAGGCAGAGTGTTTCGGGGCTTTGTACGCTATCCCATGTTTGAGCGTCCGAATTAGTTTTTATTTCCACGTAAACCCAATACCTCGGTGGGAGCCAGCGAGGGCCCGGCAGCGGAGCAGCACGTGCTCCGGCACATCAGCCTCTTCTCGGCTCACGGTGCAGAGCGCCGCTGGGCACCGCTTGTCTGGGCACTGCTGACACGCGGCGGAGTGGAGACAGCCGATTCGGTGCCGTATTGGAGCGAGCTGCCCCGGTGGCCGGCCCTCATCTGGTGCACCGAAATGGCATCCTCTCGGTCCTCTCCGGGGAGAGGGAGCGGCGGCGTGCTCCCGAGGAGTGGCTTGAATAGTGATTCTGAGCAGTTGTCGCGCCACTGATGCGAGGCCGCACAATGAACCGCCCTGGTCAGCGATCGGGCGTTTGAGGGCAGGGCGGCCGCCAGTTTTGCCAGATCGTCCACGCTCTCATTCCCCTCGATACTGCAGTGGGCAGGAACCCACTGCTATTGCTTAACGACGCTTGGCGACGTTCAACAACGTTTTCCATGCCTATCTCTACGCCGAAGGTTGAGGCCTCACCTGGGCGGCCGTTCCTCCGCTGAGTAGACTCAGGGCGGCTCGCCAGTTCGAGCACGCGACGACCGGGGCGGGGGACGTCTCGTCCCGCAACCTCTCCAGAGCTGCCCACGGGGCGAATCTGCTGCTAGATTGACCAGCGTACCGCATAAATTCGGTGACTGTCTTTCGCCAAAAAAATATGCGACCGCCCTGCACCGAAAAATTCGTCCGCCGCCATGCGCTGAATTCGGCGCATGCGAAGTTACGCCGGACGTGCGCTTAAATTTTCGGCGCAATCCCGCCACTACGCCGGACATATTCGGCTTAACGTGTATTTTTTTCCAGTCTGGACCCCATGTTGCATATTCATATGAACTGTAGATCAGATATTTTTTGAACAAATACCCATCTTTCATCCTTTCAGCATGCCTACAACCTACTAAACAGCCTTGGTATCAACCTACCATTCATACTTTATCTACACAGTACACATACATATTGATATATGGGGTATGTGGTTCAGTAGGTTATAGTAGGTCAGGTGCCTACATGCTATCATTTGTCATGCTTTGATTGCAGGTGGTGTCTTGTGGGCTTTATAGTGGGCTTTGTGGCCCTCTCTAAGTGCAAGGGTTAAGTGTTGATGCACATAATGCAATGTGTTTTTTTCCATGGGCGCAGGAACCTCACTTAAAGTGTGGGGGGAGGGGGCAGAGAACTTCAATGTCACTTTGTGGGAACCCCAATACCCCTATAAACAAATTCTTTGCAGTTTCGTGCTTATCTCACCTTGCCGAACAATTTCTTGCTCTTAGTTTTGAATTTAAATGAAAAATAAATATTTTACTTTAAAAATTAGCATAGCTGAAAAGTGGGGACATCCCCCCGATCCTAGACCTTTTTTTTCTTAATGGTACAAATCATCCAGATTCATATGAGAAGGGTAGGTAGCTACCTACAAAATCAAATCAATGCCTCAATTGTTCATTGTTTTATTACAATAAGTCCCTCCTCTGCCAATCACACTAAACTATCTACTGTCACAATGCAGTGTGCGTCATGATTTCTCAACTCTATGCATACAATATATTTCCATTTGTCAATCACATATTGTTTTTTTTTTACAGGCTTTCCGGTTATGACTGAGGCCAGCATCTCACGTGTCCTGGCTACGCCAAATCACTGCGGATGCCGGATGCCGAGGACCGGAGAGCCAACCGCTTTGAGGCGTGAGCTCTGTGGCGTGGCTCGAGTGATCACCAGGTTCTGACGGCTACGGCGCCGTCGACCTGGTTGAATAGCTGGGGCCTGGACGAGAGTGCCCTTAGTACGGTGGTCAATCGGTTACGTCCGAGGGGCGCTCGAACACGCTGCCGTCGCGTGGCTGCCGGCGGCCGCCCCCTCGCACGTGAATCTCCTGGAGCGAGGACTGCGGGAGGCGGCCGCATCATCACCTGTATCCGCGCTCAACACCGTGCCACGCACTAATGGCGGAAGCCCGACTTTCTCCGATGGAGGAGAGAAGCTGGACGCTGGCTGCCAGGCTGCTGGGGAGGGCGCTGGGTCTGCCATCAGGGGATCCCCTGCACGCGACCGCCGAGGCCTCGGCACCGGCGCGCCTGCCTTCGGTCCGAGGCTGGAGATTGCGAGGCCGCCAGGCCTGGGCGAGAGCGAGAATCCCACCGTGGCAACAGACGGCTGGCGTCACCTTCCGGTTGGACGTGTGCCCGATCCGGGCTGGGGCCACGGCGGCGGAAAGGGAAAGCGTGGCTACGCTGCACCTCGCGTTCCTGCCCCTGTGTGCTGTCCGGCTTTGGACGGACGGATCTGTGGAGGGCGGAGTCTTCAGGCGCTGGGCGGGAGCCGTGCTGGTCTGGCTGGACGAAGAGGTCGAGGAACTGCGGGCCCCGGCCGGAGAGTTGTGCTATAGCTACCGCGCGGAGATGGTGGCGCCGGTGACCGGTCCGGAGACCGTACTCGGAAGAGACAGAGACCAGGACCTGCGGTCTCCGGTCCGTACCTATCTGCTAACTGTGCGGTAGTGCTGGTGTAGTGCAACATTTTTGGATGGCTAGCTACATTTCACGATTAAATAGCTGGTACGTTTCAGTGCAGGTGGCGTGACGAACAATGTGTCTGTTGGCCACTTCTGCGGAAGCTGCCATTTCCTACTCGAAGGCGGGCGCGCTGTTTGGCTGGGCCGGCAGGATGTTCCCACTTCCCATGTGTCGACGGCAAAGCGAGTATATTCATGTTCTTTTAATGCACAGAAGTCTGTTGTATATTTGAAGTTTTATTTTAGGTTGACGATTGCGAAGGGCAGATTCATCTTCTCTCTTTCATTTGTGTTGCCACTTTAGCGTTCATGTTTGTCATAAGTGTCCTGGTCCGGCTTGGTTGTCATCTTAATTCGTGATGTATTTTATTTTACGAACATGCTGGTGATCAATGCAATACACTTGATTAATAATGCTGCTTTAGCTCTGATCCTTTGTGGTATGTCTTGATTGTACTACTGCGATAGTGATTTTTCCTCACCAAAATATGCAGGCAACAAATGTAAATGCTGCCAAAAGTTTTTCATTGCGTGATGTATCTAAAAGACATCAAGTTTCTGAACGTGGTCGTGTACTACGCAACCGGAAACTCAATAGGACGTGGAATGCTGTGAAGCAAAACTACAGAAGTGAGGCTGGCCACGCCAAAATCAAGTGAGATATGTCTAGCCTTTCTTCAGCCGCCAAGGCTTCGACAGACTATCCGCGGGTTCGGTGTCTCTCGAACTACGAAAATTCAACGTCGTCCGGCCAATCCTGGTTAAGGTCAGCGGGGACTTAGCTGTGGTTATGGAACAGGATTGGCCGTCCGAGAGACTCAGAACCTGGGGTATGTTGCAGCACAGCTATGTCGACCGAGTGTCGTCGCAAGCTACCCCTTTCGACGAGAAAAAGTAAAACCGTCCCGTCCTAGGCTAACTAGGCTTAGCTAGGTGGCAGCACAGTCGCGCCGGCAGGGGGCAGTGCCACAACCAGCCGACTGATATTTTCGTGTGACGTCAGAACCGGTGCCTCCCTGGCGCCGCGCAGACTGCGGCTCGGCCGGCTGGCTCTGAACGCCGGCCGGTGACACTGACGTCACGTCCCCTCCGGCGAGGTCAGGGCGATCCACCGCTCGACACTGGCGGCCGGCGTGGCTCACTGGCAGCCGCGGATAACAGCCGCGTTTACATAGGGATAGTTGCAAGCCTCTAGCTCCGCCTGTGATGTCGCAAAACATGCCAATGACGCTTTGTAATTAACACAATGATCTCATCTAAATATACGAAAAGTACTGCACTAAAATTATCGGAGAAGAAGTGAGCAACAGCCCCGACAAAAATGCTATGTAACCGGGCATATTGTTTGGGTGGCAGGGAGCCGGATTTGTGCCGGACTTGGCGGTCCGAAACCATAGTAACTCCGGAGCGCTACGGCAAAGACTGGCTTATCGGAGTCACCATCAAATTAATACCCACCCGCCTTTTAACTATATGTTATATATGTTATATATATATATATATATATATATATATATATATATATATATATATATATATATATATATATATTTATATATTAGAGAGAGGTATCAGAATTTACTTGTAAAAACACCGCTAATTATTCAGTACCTATAATGTCAAGGTTGTGACAAACCGTTTTAACAACGTGTTGGCGACCACCAGCTGACAACGTGAACAGTCCTAGTGTTAAAACATGTCAAATTTAACGATGAAAACTGAAAATGCGCGTTGAAAGTCAAAGGAAATGCAATATATGGCCTTATATGTCACCATGCATTATCAAAATATAATGCTGCAGCCGCCTGCAAGTGCGCGGTTGCTGCAACGTACCAATAAAACGTTGTCACAACGTTTTACCACAACTGTCGGACCAAACCATGGCTTCACAACGTTCAGAACGTTGATACAACGTAATTAAAACGTAATTTCGTAACTTGCCGAAACACGACGTTGTGACAACGTTGTACTAACGTTTCCTGTTAGCTGGGTATCCTCATTTCACATTTCGATTTCACAGGGATTCTTAAGTCTGCAAGCATGGAGTCATTTCATGAAGCTGGCCATCATTCTGGGAACTTTGATGACATAAAAACATTGATAGAATCTAAGCATGTAGATTTGAAGAGTGAGCTAGCGAAGGGACAAGGGTTGCAAGAGAAAATCCAGGACATGACTGCTCAGATGGATGACCTGAACACAACAATAACGTCGGAGGTGAGTGAGTTATGAGTACCTATCATGTATCCTTTGTCATGTTTTACCTTGAAGTGATTCAAATTCAATACCTACACCACTTACATTCTTTTTCAGCTTTCCTGCTCACATGGATGGCACAAGGACCACACAAGTTTTTAACCCTTGCCTTGGCAGCAGCATTTTTGCATACATTTGATGTGTTTATAACTACCTCAAAAATCTCTGTAGAACTCTGTGTTCTCTTTTTGTTGCATGAGTTTCTGTGTACTCTTTTATCACCCTGTGTGTGGTAACAGGGCCCGTGTCTGTTTGACTCCAGATTCGGCCGGCGCTCTCCGACTCTACTGAGCAGCTGCAGAGGGCCACCGCGGAGCTGGCCGAGACCACCGAGCTGCTGCAGCTGGTGGAGCAGCTGCTGCAGCTGGGCCGGCAGCTGGCCGCCAGCCGCCGGCTGCAGCAGGCCGGCCGGCTGGCGGAGGCAGCCGACTGTGTCTCGGAGCTCCGGCAGCAGACGCAGCGGCTGGAGGAGCGCACCGGACACCAGGTACCGGACTGCACTGCCGGTAGCCCGAGCCGGTCCTCACTCGGGGCAGGGCGCCAGATATGACACCTTGTCGTCGCTGGCCTCCTGGCCGCCGATCTACTACGTCCGATTTAGCCACAGATTAATTGAAAATAGAAACATTGCCATTTGGTCGGTCATTTTCGGCCAATTCCGTGTAATCTCGCTGATAACCACGCAATCATTGCTACCGAGGCTGTCACCACAGTGCCGCTGATGACTGGTTTGTGGTCTGTCTGCTGTGGGTCTCTACTCTCTGATGGCCAATTTGTCTGCCGTGGGTTCTCTACTGACGGGTATGACTATGACCGCCCGTTTTTCACGCGTCCCAAAATTATATTTTGGCTTCGGTGTCAGAGGGGAATATTCGTCTATACTAAGAGGGCTGAGAGTGGAAAATTGCCAGTCAGAAAGGCACTTAAAGGAGTTGAAAACAGGGATAAGCAATTAATTTTTGAATGTTAGAGGGTGCTCTGGGGAGCTGCATTATAGGATGATTAAATAAGATATGAAGAGAGGTAAAAGGTACACGCCACGCGGATGCTCCCGATTAGTAAAACAGGGAGTGAAAAATCGCTCTGGAATATTGGAGGTGAGAGTGGAAAATTATTTTCGTTTGGGTGTCGCTTCCCACCCAAACTTGCGAATTTTGGGTCACTGCAGGTGTCTCTGCTCTCGGACCTCCGGGACCAGGCGCTGGTCCAGGAGGAGGCCGTGCTGCACGCGCTCGTGTGCCGCTGGCGGGCGGCGTTCAGCTGGGACGACTCGGACGCGGCGCTGACGGTGCGGCCGGCCGGTCTGGAGGACACGGCCGCCGGGCTGCGCCGGCTGGGCCGACTCGGGCGCCACCTGGAGCGGCTGTCTGAGGCCGTGCTGGGCCGGCTGGCCGCGCCGCTGGTGGCCGGCGGCCGGCTGCAGCGGCTCCGGGACGCCGACTCGCTCACCCTGTCCGTGTCGGCTGCGGAGCCGGAGCCGGAGCCGGAGCGGCAGCCGGAGCCGGGGGCCGTGTACGCCGCGCTCACCGAGCTGGTGACGGCGCTGGCCGAGGCGGCGCTGGCTGGCCCACTGCTGGCCGAGTTCGGCGCGCTGGCCGGACCGGCGCTGGCCCAGCAGCTGGTCGACGGCCCGCTGGCGGCGGCCATACCGTCCGGTCCGCAGCAGCGCGCCGCCTTCGACACGGTCATCGAGAGCACGGAGCGGTTCAGCGCCGCGCTGGCCGAGCTCGGTGAGCGGGGGCGACTGATATCCGCGCTACCGCCGGCTCCAAACTGTGCCGATACCGACAGTGTGTGGAGGTCAATTCAATATCCAATTTACGTGATCCTCATTCCCCATGTTTGAATAATGCGTTGTTTCAGCTAATTTCTAGCTCACGCGATTACCAATTTTCTCACAGTCCAGTAACTTTCTGCTTCAGCCTTCCGGGATTCCCGCGCCTGCATCTGGGATGTGCCCGTGCTCTGTTCCGTTGCCCCGGCGGTTCTCCTCTCACGCCGTCGGACCCCGCCCCGCCGCCAGGGTTCTGGGATCGCTCCGACTCGCTGCTGGCCTATGTGTCCGACGTGGACCGTCTGATGGTGGACCGGGTGTGCGCCGACCGTCTGGCGGCCGGCCGCCGGCTGCTGGCCGCGCCCCTGCACGTCACCGTACCGGTGGGCGGCGGGCCGCCGGCCGCGGACGGGCCCGAGCCGCCCGACGGAGCGCTCACCGACAGTCTGTACCGCCTGCCGCGCTGCCGCGTCAGGTAGGAGGGCGGGGCGGCGGGCGGAGAGGACGTGAGCGTCACCGGTCCAAAGAATGGCTGTCACAGGAGGCTCAAATCTTATGCATAAATACCGTAAATAAGATTAAGCAGCACTGGCTAAAGCTCAGGCACAGGTAATGGCTTTTAAATTCAAAATGATTTACACGCATTTCAGCCCATCTTACAGTCAATCGAAGTTAACAAGAATCGTTTGGTCTATTGGTATACGTAATACGCATTTGCCTGCACCGGTGTTTTTTATGTATGTAACCAAGTGTCGTACGTAGGAAAGTACGGCACTTGAAAGATTAGGCCCATGATGGCACGGTGCCGCTGGTCGGAGAGTTGGGGTTGCCCCGCGTTGGATTCTGATTCGGGGGGAAGGGGCACTCAGAGCGGAAAGGCCCAGCTACAGGCCGGATGGTTTGCAGGGGATGACAATAGATTTCAGTGCACGTAGACAGGTAAACGTAAGACACAAACGTGAGGCACAGCGGAGGATCGAACGCGCCCGTGAACATCCAAGCTTTAAAAACAATTTCAGCTGCAGCAAGACTGGGAGTGGGCACATTCTATGATTCACATTACATTTTCTGCACAAGTGGTGAGAACGAGCTCGTGTCACCAGATCCGCGAGATCCCTGGGGCTGGCCCGCAGCACAATTCTCATGTGGATGCAATGATAAGGTTTGTACTGCGCCTCATGGGGTCAGATGGACTGGGGAGGGGAGTTGTCAGCCGATGGGTATCGAACTCGGCTGATAACGGTGAGGACAAGGCCACCGCGGCGGCCAGGCACATGGTGTCCCGCGGCCAACGCATCGTCCAAACGACAACGATGGCCTGCGGGCGCCTGAGCTTCTCAGCTTTGTAGCACCAGCCGGCATCACTGTCCCCAGCGGCTGAGCAGTAGGACGAGCCACCAACGGGGATTAACTGACTCCTCAATTCTAAATAACAGAGGTCCTTGTAAGCCACTGATGTGGATGATTTCCTAAATGGGTTCTATTTTCTACTTAAGCTGTGTAATGCTGATGTCCAATAATTGCCAAACTATCGCATTTCAGGAATCATGAAGGAAAACGACCACAAATTATGTTAAGGTGCTCATCTTCGAAACAATACGAAGGTCATTGTGATCCAGGTGAAAGTATATTTTCTAAAATACATTTGGAACCACCAATCTACCCCCTATCTAACATTCTCGCATCCGTGAACAATATCAGATTCGCAAGATCAGCACACTGCTTCCAACTTACAACATACACCCGCGCACCGGGGAAAAATATCCAAAATGAGTTTCATCATCTCAATATCTGTCTGGAAACGCACATTACTAATGTAAGAGGTAGTGAGTGAACCCTGTCCACTTTCACAGCTCTTTACCGTGAAATACTTATCGTTTACCATGCACATTACGCATCCTATCATCTGAGCTCTCAACATACTAGCCAGAGCAGTCGAGTCGCATAAGTCAACACGTGTCCATAAGGCATACTGCACTTCATACAACTTTCGGAATACGTTGGAAGGATAAACCTGATTCAGAAATGGACAAGACAGTCGGGGATCTCTTGTCCGACGATTCTGCGATTGTTCGTTGTCGGCCTGTTGACATGTGCATTGTGCATCACTATGAAACAAATCATTGTCTACCTACGCAACATTGGCAATAGAAAACGTACGCGTCGCTGATATGTTTGGCAAGGCACTAATTGGAAGTACATGATTATCCGCTAGGTTCTCACACCTCGAACGCAATCACATTCAGCGCCGTTGAGGCCCCCTGGACTAATATTGCATGGCCCCAGTGGCCTTTAGTAAGCTCGCACCGGAAATACCAGTAGCACTTTCCCTCAGTTCCCAATGTAACATAACGTATCTCCCAAGCACGTTTCACCTACCCCACCCAGCGTGATCCATGAGTTTCCAAGTCATTACCTCAGACTCGCCGGTCACTGGCACCAAGTTGTGTCCCAACCGTGCCGATACAGCGGCTCTACCAGCGTCCCCACAACAGCTGTCCTAGCGTCGCTACAGCAGCTGCTGTCCCAGCATCCCTATAGCAGCAGCTGTCCCAGCGGCCCCACAACAGCTGTCCCAGCGTCCCTACAGCAGCTGCCCCAGCGGCCCCACAACAGCTGTCCCAGTGTCTCTACAGCAGCTGCTGTCCCTGCGTCGCTACAGCAGCTGTCCCAGCTGCCGGAGCAGCGGCAGGCTGGCGGCGCGCACGTCGTCGGCGTTGAACACGGGCCTGTACCGCCGCAGCTCCTCCAGGCGGAGCGTGTCGGCGCCGCAGCAGTGCGCGATCAGCGGCCAGTTCATCTGCGCCACGTGGCCGCCCGTCAGCTGGCGCAGGAACGTCCAGTACGAGCGGCGGATCTGGTGCGGCTCCAGCACGGCGGCGCTCAGCACCAGGCCCGTGCTGAGGGCGTACAGCAGCGCGCCGCCGCCCGGCGGCCGCGGCAGACGACCAGACGCCGCGCCGCGCCAGTAGCACGCCTCCACCGTCTTCCAGAACAGGTAGAGCGTCAGCGAGCGGCTGCTAAAGAACCGCAGGCCGACGGCGGCAGCTACCGCGCCAGCGGGCAGTGCATGCCAGGCGTCGTCCCGGCCGCGCTGCCGGCGCAGCAGACAGCTGACCAGCCGGAACAGGCCCGAGAGCGAGCCCAGGCCGAATCCGAGCCTAAGGAGGGCGGCGGCGGCGGGCGGCGCCGGCGGCCGGCTGGTGGTGACCAGTCGCAGCAGGCCGCCGGCCGCCGTCACACCCGTCTGCAGCGCCACACCCAGCAGCAGCGACTCGCAGAGGCCGGCGGCCGCGTACGGCGCGCAGCCGCCCGCGTGCGGACAGCACGGGTGGCGGGCCACGGTCAGCGGCCGGCGCGGGGACGGCGGCGGCCGGGCGCCGCGCACCAGCCGCACCACGTACTGCACCAGCCGGGCGCCCGCCGACGGCTCCTGACCTCGGCCGTCGCCCGGCGGGGGGCAGACCTCCACCGTCCCCAGCAGCGTCTTCGTCAGAGTGCCCAGGAGTCCCTCGCACTTGCCCTGCTTGTGCATGTAGAAGATGGTCGCTAGCGTGGCAATGGCGAGCAGTCGTTCACCATGTGGGACTTGTGGCACAAGTCCTCTGGCCTTCAGGATATTGAACAGGGTTTCTGATGCCACATTGGTCATGTACACTGTCAGAGCATTTCTTCTGTCCTCTCTTTCCAGAAAGATAGCCATGTAGGAAGACATAAAGGCAGCAAGCATGATGGATTCTCTTGCTGGGATGAATGGCAAACTCCTCACAAAACAGAAACATGATAAAAAGAAGTAGCAGTTTGCTCCAAGGAATGTTGAAGACTGTAGGGTTTCTTTTGCAAGCTTCTGAAGAGTGGATTTATCCAGCTTCTTTGCTTTGATCAGTCTTGAAATCATAAACAGCGGCAGATAGATTTTCATGGCTTCCCGAACTCCTGGAATGCCAACATCCAGCCATGACTTTGGACATGATGATGTCCATGTGTGGGCAATTTCATGACACCCATATGGTGTTCTTGACAGCTTACTTGCTGCTATCATTCTGGATGGCTAGATGTTTCCAGTTTCAAAAGATAACAGGTAGTCTCTTGCTCTGAGTGTGCTGTACCAGTGCAGTACTGTCCCAGTACCCTGGGTGATTCCTCAGCAATACTACAACTTCAGCAGTCAGCACTTAGTTCCACTTTGCGACTAACCACTAGGTTCAGCACCCGCAACAGACTGGATGGCGACTGCTAGATCCCCACGTTGAGATTGTGTCTGATGGCACATGAATCTCACCTTGTACTTGAATGATACAATTATCTCAAGAGCTGGGAACTTTACCATACCATATCTCAACGTCCTTGATCGCAGCAGTGTAGATATGGGATATCTTATCTGTTCTTGACTACAGTCCACTTCTCTGTCAGGGCCAGAGGGCTGAGGTGGGGATGCACACCAATGCCATCGTTTTATTAATATATGACTTGCAATGTACTTCGAAAGTTGCTGGCTTTAAAGGACTCATGCACAGGCATTTCGGAATTAAAGGAACTCAGCCTTTTTTAAACAAAAATCAATGACAATTGCTCTATATATGACCTTGGACCTTGGCAATGTAAATGTAAACAACAATCTATAGAGGCGATTGTGGGGGGTCCGCGACATATCTGTTTGAAATACTGCGTACGAGCAGCATCAGCAAGTTTTTACAAAAGCAACCAATCAGCTTTCGCAACAGCTGAAGCTGATTGGTTCATATTGGTTCGACCAAGGCTACAGAATACCGGTCCGACTATCTTGCGACGGTCGTAAATTAAGCAGCAGGTTGATATTCCTGATTTCGATGAGAATTATGCCACATGATGTGGAAAGCACTTTTCTAGCGCCAGCCCTGCAACATCGTAAAGCTTAGGAACTACACCCCGATCGAAACGGAAGTGGCGCCGTTTGATTCGCCGTGTGCAATTTGATTAGCCGTTTTATACTAGGTAGTATATTTAATGTATGCTAACCCCAGTTAACATTGTTGACCTTCATCAGGTCACAAACGTTCTCGCGTATTGCAGCCATTCCCATAACTCAGCAATTACTGATGATGGGATGGATCCTGACTCCTGAGTTAGAGGATGTCTGCACTAGACGAGAGTGCTTAGCCGGAGCTTTGAAGGTCACCGAGGTCACCTGAGGCTGAGGCCACCACATATAATATTCAAAACAGCCGGTCAAATTGTCCGTGGGTTACCAAATGCATTTGATTGCATGTAATGTATGATTGAGCTCAATGCCGTTCCTCCGGAGGGACTAACACGTGAAGTTTCTAAATATTCCGGCCCTGACGACCCTACGGTGGCACGGACTCGAGCCGGCTCCGTTTGACCATGCCCACGTGTAGAGGCCCTCATTAGTATTCTTGATGCCCTACCGCCACGCCGGACACTGATGCTCTCACGACAGTCTCGAAACACACCATCCCTATGAGCCACCGGCCCCTGTGTCTGAGCGCCCTGCGTGTGTGCCGAGTGCCGACCCTGGCGCGCGCTGTTTCCCGGCCCGTCTGATCGGCCCTCCCGCTCTGTCCTGGCCCGTCTGATCGGCCTCCCGCTATGTCCCGGCCCTCTGATCGGCCTCCCGCTGTGGCCCGTCTGATCGGCCTCCCGCTGTGTCCCGGCCCGTCTGATCGGCCTCTCGCTGTGTGCGTGCCGCAGTGAGTCGGCGGTGCAGTACGCCGAGCTGGTGGAAGCCACGGTGTCTGAGGCGGCCGGCGGCGCGCCGCTGCTCTCGGCCCGGCTGCACTACACGACCGGCCGGCTGCTGGAGCTCTACTGCGCCCTGCTGCCCGAGGTGCACCGCCACCATTTGGCCAGCGTGCCGGAGCAGGCGGCCATCGCGCACAACAACCTGCAGCTGCTGGCGCACCGCGTCACCGCGCTGGCCGTCCGCCACAGGTGAGCCGTCAGCTGCTGGCGCACCGCGTCACCGCGCCAGGTGAGCCGTCAGCAGCTGCTGGCGCACCGCGCCAGGTGAGCTGTCAGCTGCTGGCGCACCGCGTCACCACGCTGGCCGTCCGCCACAGGTGAGCGGCCCAGCCGACCGGCAGCAAAGAGGTGGCAATACTTGTCCGCTTTTCCTCGCGTAATTCACAATTGACTGTTTCTCAAACTAAAAACATCATTTGAACGCCAGCAGGCTGCATCCTCCCGGATGTTCTGGGCCCAGGCGGTACCCTACACCGCTTGTGTTGAGTGTGTCTGTCTGGGTGACTGTCCGTAGGTGTGCGGACGGCACGTTCCTGGACATGGTGCCCGAGCTGCGACGCACCGGGTCCGACATCTTCCTGGCGGCCCTGACGCACCAGAAGGAGCAACTGCTCGACATTCTCTCGGAGGCAGGTGAGAACAACAACCAACGGGACTGGGATGGGTAATTCGCTGTGTGGTGTCGATCGACTCGATATTCTCTCGGAGGCAGGTGAGAACAACAACCAACGGGACTGGGATGGGTAATTCGCTGTGTGGTGTCGATCGACTCGATATTCTCTCGGAGGCAGGTGAGAACAACAACCAACGGGACTGGGATGGGTAATTCGCTGTGTGGTGTCGATCGACTCGACATTCTCTCGGAGGCAGGTGAGAACAACAACAACAAGACGGATGGGTAATGCTCTGTATGTTGTCGAGTCTATCCCTCTCCCTACCCTAAAATGCGATTAACGATTTCTCCTACTGCTCACTTGTTCCGCTGACCATCGATGAAGTTGATCATGTTTTCTGGCGGCTTCTGATCTCGACCCGGCCCGGTGCCGCGTCGGACAGGTCTGGAGAACCTGGCGCAGACGGGCGACCTGTCGGCCACGGCCGGCGCCGCGCTGCGCCGCTGCGGCCACCAGCTGCGCCGCGTCTGCCGCGTCTGGCGACCCGTGCTGCCGGCGGGCGTGCACGCGCGCGCTGCCGGCCTCCTCCTGTCCGTGGTCACCGGGTGGATCACGGAGCGCGTGCTGGCCCAGCAGGACATCTCGGCCAGCGCGGCCAGCCAGCTGACGGCCGCCGCCGCACCGCTGGTCGACGACGCACTGGCGCTCTTCAGGGTCAGTGGCTGACAGGCGACGGGTGGGCCTGCTGGGCCCCGGGGCCACGCGGGTCTCTGGCTGTATGGTATGGGGTCTCTGATGTTGTAATGTTGCTTTTACAGGATGTAATCTATCTGATGTGTGGGGCACTTCTGACAGTGTGTGATCAATTCTCTGACAGTATATGGCCTCTCCGTCAGTACGGAATATATGGAATAACGGGTGTCTACTAAATAATGAGAAAAAGTTTAAAGACCTATATCTCGGTAATTGCGTAACTTAGATCATTCAAAATTCGCATGCGGATGCACCTATTTATTGGTTATCAAGAACCTTCGAAGCAACGCACTGAGTTAATCATGTTTCACGTCAGGCCGCACGAGCCATCCGACCCCCTCGATCAAACGTCGCGGCACCTCCGCGTTTAACGAGACCGATAATTTCTGACTTTGCATCTTCAGATGTCGGTCCAAAGCTATGGTCTAGTCCCCTGAACATATTTCTTTCTTGGCAAAGCCTCACAAGTCTTAAAGCGGCCAAAGCTGCGAACGCAGGGTCAATTGTCCTCTCGATCTTCCAAGGGTACGCCGACCCCCTCCAACATTGTGATGGTTTTAATGGCATAATGGCCGAAAACTAAGTCGAGCCGGAGCTTATAGCCACCACTTGGGTAGTCTACACCATGTATGACCTTGGCGACCCCCAAAAATAAGGAATCGACACCTTTTCTAGCCGTCCCTCGCACTAGAACACCCTTCCAATGTTAACTCATTTTGGCATCATATGACTGGCAGTACATCCCCTTCCGGAGACACCGTCTAGCCACACCAGTAAGCTGGAAACCGGCAAGGAAACTTGTCCTCAGGCTGCAGTTGTATTACCCCTTACAGGAGTCTACAAACCGGCAACAGATGACATTTCTGTTCCCGAGAAGGCCAAACAGCTTTCGTCACCCATTACCATCTCCACCTTGTGACCAGTTGACAGCGTGCCCCTGAACCACCGACGCAAACGCCGTTATTCTCTGCGTTCCTGCGCTTTGGTGATAACGGATGTCTGTGTGCACCTCAGTTACTTAATTGCACATTTTCTAAAACAGAAATAACGACATAATAGTGGCAAATATTAAAGTGTCACGCCAGCAGGCACATTGACACCCCTCACTTTGTCCTTCGTACCCCATAGCAGGGGATCTTATTTCTGTGGCGAAACTCGCAGAGTTACAGCCCCTTCAAACTTTTGTCTAGCATGCTGATCGTTTCCTCTTGTCCGAACTATCATAAATATGCGATTGGCACTGGGCTAAAAACCTTTAATTTGTACTTAGAGAGCCATTGGTGTCTTTTCCGGTATAGATCGGTAATTTTCCTTCAGATTGGCGAAGATTTCTCGGAACCGTTGCATGCTTAACGTCCTCCTGGCGACTGACCGTGGGATGTCATGTTTTCATTTTGTGTGTTTAACATTCGCAACAGAGTGGTCTTTCATCATGTGAATTATGCATATTATGTGTTATCATTAAAGGTGCGTATCAACTCCTTAGAAATTTTCTCATTATTTAGTAGACACCCGTTAGTATGGGATAGACAGTGCGCTGTGTCTGTGACTGTGTCGGGGCCCTGACAGTGACGATGACCCTCTGACGATCGGCCCGCGCCCACAGCCGGACACAGAGGGGGAGGAGGACCCAGCAGAGGGCAGCGCGCCGGCCGTCTCGGAGAGCGAGGCGCGCGCGCTGCTGTCGCGCCACACGGGGGGCTGGGGCCGCTTCACCGAGCTGCTGCTCGTCCTGGAGGAGACCATGCGCGGTGAGTCTGCCCCTCCACAGGGCCCATGAACTGGCCGTGGTATGCCACTGTATACTGGATGTAGTCAGGTGTGTATTGTGTAAGAAGCTGTATATACTGGTTTAGTGTGCCTTGTATGCGCTGTCCGTGCTGTGTGCTGTGACTGCCGTCTGAGCAGAACGTGCTCTGCCCCGCAGGGATCCTGGACCGGTGGTCGGACGGCAAGGGCCCGCTGGCCCAGCACTTCAGCGCCGAGCAGGCGCGCCACCTGGTGCGCGCGCTCTTCCAGAACAACGAACGGCGCGCCGCGACTCTGGCCAGGATCAAATGAGCGCGCCCGGCGGGTGCGGGCGGCACCGGCCGGGTGAACCGAAACCTGTACCGCGTCTGTGTGTGAGTGAACACAGTGCCTTCGGGGAGCTGGAACGGAAACTGTCTGAAATCGGAGACAGACTGGGCTGTGGGCGGCCGGTATATCGCGATATAACTATATAATTTCTAACTATGTTTTGGTGTTTATCCTGGAGTTGTTATATGATCTTTGTTTTGAATATAACTACAATTGTAATGTGACATAAGCGAATGATTGTATTGTATTTACCAGTAAAACGCCGTTTGGGGGGAAAGAACGAACGAGCACAGCGGGGAGCCATGCACTTGTGAACATGCTAAGTGAGACTTGCAAATGACTTGTGGGAGCCACCCTTAAAAGGTGTACCGAATTATAGGGAACTTGAAACAAGAAGTGGAGGTCATCCGAGGTCAAGGTCACCGAGGTCACCTTCAACAACAATTTTCTGTCTGATGAGTGATGTGTCTGTCTGATGAAGTCGCATACGGCGAATCGAATGATGGCTTCATCGATTCAACCGTCTCGATAATTGCTGAGGATGAATGCATGGATAGACAGAGACGTTTGCACTGGTCCTCGCTAGATCGCCTGAGGTTACCATATTTCTATCGGTTGATGGAATTACCTACGCACGGCGAATTTTTGTCTTGATAGCGCCTGACTGGACACTGAAATGCAGCATATCACAATGGGATATCCGGGTAGTGGGTATCCCGGGCACTGTTTCACGCCACGCCGCTACTCATGACGCGACCAGAGCTCTGTTCGCCCGCTGCTGTCAAAACAGCTTCCCCAACAGCCCACTAGGTGGCTACTGTGTTGAAGAGATAGGACTGTGCTGTTGACCAATGAGAGGCCGAGAAACGCACGCAGGCTGCTGACGTAGGCTGCCGTGCGCTTACTATGGGCAACCACAAAAGTGAGATATTTCTTCTTTTAATGGGGCTACAAAGTGATCTAAAACGCAGACAAAAAAGTTACCGACACTACAAAACCACTGCCACCATCCATACGCTGGCTGATGGACGAGATTGTTGCCTAGCAACGGAGACCACGTGAATTTGTCCAATAGGAGCTCGAGTCGCGCCAGCAGTGTGTGACGTAGGCTGCTGTTATAACCGCAGAGTTCGTGCGGTCGCTGTGGGCCAACCGCAGCGAAGGCGCGGCCGATTTGGGCGCGCCCCGCGCCGCTGTCACACGTGCGCCAAACAAGCTGAGCAATGTCCCTTTTGATTGTCGCTTAGCAGCGGAGACCACGGTCACGACGTACTTTTGGCGTACTTTTGTCTGCAGCCCCATCCCTTAGCTGCGTAGGTTTCATGAAAGTAATCTTGGGTTTCATGGCTCGACGCTAGTGACCTCTATATTGAACTTCATCAACGCGCTAGCGACATCTCGCAGGAGCCAAAAGGACTTGGCATTATGCAGTGAATCATTCAAACTTTGCAAATCATTGGCAACTTTGCCGAGAACATAGGCGGCGGAATGGGGAGGGCACCGGGGCACCGTGCCCCCTTTGATTTTGACATTTTTACATTAGCCCTATGGGCGTTGCATGGAAAGAATTTAGAATGGGACCAAAAGTCGGCAGAGTGTTCCGCCGCTACTGGCCGAGAACGCCGATGTTCCTTTCGCACCGGGCGTCGGTTCATCACAGGTGTTGGTAGGGCTCGAATGGCACAGTCAAATAGCACAGCCATTCTCCCTTAATAAGCACTACCCCTAGCCCTCGCCACCGAGAAGAGGGGGTTCGGGTGTCGCCCTCGACGTTTTTTTTTAAGGTAATTGCTCGGAAGGCGCTGGTATAGAGATGAAAGCTGGCGCACTTGAACATTAAAGACGGATCTTCACACCGACCACATTATTAGGTCAGGTCAGGTTACTGACTTGGGACGTCGTAAGTGAACCTCTGCACGGCCCTAAAATGTCGCAATTTAGTCCGAAATGGCGAGGGGCGGGGAGGGCAGAGTCCATCTACCCTCCCCCTAAACGGCATCTGATGAAGAAAACCGATAGGTTCGGCGAGAATTAAAAATGCCCTAATTATTGCCGAGTCTAGGCAGTATCATGCCCACGATCACGACACCCATCTGTTCATATGCCCATCGGTGAATAGCGCGTGTCAGCCTGTGTCCGGCTGTTATTGCCTGCGCCGGCGTTACAGGTGCGTCATCAACGCAACAAAGAAGTACGACGCTTGTGATATCTATCCTGAAGCACCATGAAATGTGACATCCGTAAAATGTACAGTAGAATAGTTAGTCGTTGCCCATGTAGAACACATTTATGGTGAGTGGTGACATTTATTTCCAGATAACAAATTTAACGAGAAGGATAAGCTATGGCCACTGGCCAGTAGCCTTATCCGCATGGCCACATGCGAACAAAACAACGTCACACAACGAATCAATGCCAAAAATCATAGGCTGTTTACAAATATCTACAAATAAATCACGCCTCACATGTGTTCAATTGTTATATAACGAACTGTGCGATGTGCAGTATCAGTGCCAGCAGTGTGGCCAGTGAAGCATCAGGTTCACTGGCCACACTGCAGCGCTCGTCTGCGACGAGCGCCAGGCCTCCTGCTGGCAGGCCAGCGAGACGGGTTCCGAACCTCAGGGACCACAGCCCGGGTCGTTTAAACCATCAGGCAGGGCGAGGATGGAAGATGAGCGAGCATATCGGCGCGATAGGCTTCAGTCAATTGCTGAGTGGGACCGAGGGCGTCCGTCCGTTGAAGACAGGTGGTCGACGGACTGCAAACAGCGTGCGGCGGTCTTCTCAAGGCTGTCCGATGGGCCGCTGGCCCTAAGCAGCGATAAATCACCTGCCAAGAAAACAAGGGATCAGAAAATTCACTCCCTCCTTTAAAGTCCAAAATGCTTATTGCTCAAGCACCTCAGGGTCAGAGCCTCAGAGGAAGCAGTAATAGAGGCCTTCAGCAACCTCACCAAGCTATTCAGAGTGATAACAGGATGATGCCTCAGGTCTGAAGACTTTACCGGACAGCTGGCGGAAGGCATTTTCCAGCAAATGGTCAAAGACCTGCAGTAAATGTTGTCATGAGCATGTGCCATATTTTTGTTTTGGATTGATGAGAACTGTTAATTTATCATTCCATATGCAAACCAGTCCGTGCAAGGTTCTGAACAACTTTTTATAATTTCATCATTAAAAATCAACTTGAATATTAAAAATTGTGGCACATAAGTAGGCTTTCAAGCTTCACGGTCCGGGATACACATCACAACAATCACCACATGTACGATACGAGTGCTATGAATTCAGTGCCTTCTTGGGAATATTTTCCTATATTTAAGATAAAAAATTACATGGATAGGTATACCAAGATAAAACACAAGGCAATAACAATAATTTGAAGGAAGAAACAGCAAAAGTATCACCACACAGTACCTACTTATAATAAATAATCATGTGAACATAAATTGGGAAATAAAATGACAATATTGAGTGGCCAAGTATTTTAATCCTTACAAACTTCAGGGGACAGCAAATCTAATGAAGCAAAATATTGCATTTTAACACACATATTCTGACACAATCAAACACTAAATTGAAATGCTCTTCTATGAAGTAGGTACTCCAAAACAAAAACAAAAAACACAGGTAAAATCGTTTACAAATAGAAAATGAACGTTCTATGCCTGTCACCTATGGCTGAACAAATAAACAGCATATAAAATCAAATAACACTAAAAATAAATTTTCAAAACCGAATATAATCACAACATACTTATATAGCCTTGCAACATACCTATGTGAAACAATAAACACATAAAACAGTGCGGAGAGCATTCGTTGATGTGCGCCACCAATGTCATTACAGCATCATATATGTCTCTTTCACGTAGCACGTAGCTTGCAGTGATGACGTCATGTCCCGTGACGTAAATCGACCGCCGACGTCATAAGTCTGCTCATAAATAAACGGGGTGCGAACAGAGCTCAGGTGTTGGCTCTCAGGGGCTCTCAGTGTCTATGGAAAGGAAGCAAAAATGGCCGAGCTTACAGTTTCCCAGAAAACAGAGTGCCAAAATCCTGGTATCGTCATGCGCTAAAACAGGGCCCTAACAAAAATAAAAACAAAACAGGCCCTTGGGATAGCTGCAGGCAGCTGCAGGGTAAGTGCTTGTCTTGGGAATTGCAATATTTATATAAAAAAAAAAATAATAATCCGCTGAGCAGTCGAATAATATCCCGAAATGAAACTGCTGTTGGATTGACAGAAGTTCTTTTGTAATTGTATACATTTATTACGCAGCTGTGACACCGAGACGAAAATTATTTTTGCGAGCATGGGAAAATATTTATAATTTTATCGTAACCGGACAAATCTTCGTATGGCAATTCTTCGTCGCGCAATTCCTCGTCCGCATTTCTTCGTCCGCAAATCTTCGTCGGCGCATTTATTCGTGTCGCATAACTTCGTCTCGCATTTCTTCGTAAGCGCAAATATTCGTAGCGCATTTTTTCGTATCCGCATTTCTTCGTCCGCGCATTTCTTCGTCAAGCATTTTTTCGTCCACGCATTTCTTCGTCTACGCAAATCTTCGTCCGCATTTCTTCGTCCACGCAAATCTTCGTCTGCGCATATCTTCGTCCGCAAATCTTCGTCCCCGCAAATCTTCGTCCGCAAATCTTCGTCCGCATTTTTTCGTCCACGCATTTCTTCGTCTACGCAAATCTTCGTCCGCATTTCTTCGTCCACGCAAATCTTCGTCCCGGCAAATCTTCGTCCACAAATCTTCGTCCGCAAATCTTCGTCCGCAAATCTTCGTCCGCATTTCTCGTCCACGCATTTCTTCGTCCACGCAAATCTTTGTCCGCAAATCTTCGTCCGCAAATCTTTGTCTGCGCTATCTTCGTCTCCGCAAACATTCGTCCACAAATGTGGTTGAATAAAACCATGAAGAAATATCAGACCATTTAAGTGAATGACGAATTTAATGCATGGAATGGATGATCGATACTTTTGAAGTCATGGCAGATGAGATCACTCAGTCAGGTGAAGCTATTGTATTTGGGAGCCGACAATTGTAACATTCCATATCATTTGTGTCCCGGACATTCTTTTTTTCGCGGTCGTTGAATGACAATATAATCTCTTGTGCCCTCGCCGGCATAGGCGGCGGAACGGGGAGGGCACCGGGGCACCGTTCCCCTCTTTAATTTTGGCCTTTTAACAGTAGCCCTATGGGC